TAAAATGTATTAATCATCATGCTTGGGTACACAAGAGGGCATTTTCCTTCCATCAACTTTGATCTTCAGTTCATAGTTTCCCACATCATCTTGCTCATTTCGTATTCTTTGAAGGGATACGAGAAGAGAAGCATCACAATTCAAAATGTATATAGACTCGAGCGTTGAGATGTCCCCTAATTCAAGGGGTATCTCTTCAAGATGAACACAATTCACCACCCGTAATCGTTCAAGACATGGAAAGTTGATGCTTGAGGCTTTCCATTGTTTGATATTTAACTTCTTAAGTCTCAAGACTTTTAACCGTTGAAACTGATCCTCACCTGTTTCCTACAGGGTTCCCTCAAACCCATTGTCTTCTAGTATGAGAGCCTCAAGATTAGGTAATGATTGACATGTTGCTCCATGGTAGACCACACCTTACAAATGTAAGTACTTTCAGTGTTTCAGGGAACCTAATAATGTGATTCTTTCCTAAGTTTGGTGCACTTCTGCGAAATTCGCGCTGAACTGATCCAATTAACGTCAGGATTTGAAGGTAATGGAGTACTTCAAAGTCATTTTCCTTGTCGGAGTAAAGAGTAGATGTAAGTTCCTTGATCCTGGGAAAACATTTCTTAAAATTATCTACCCCATCTCCCAACTCCACCTTTGTAATAAATTCCAAGTTCAATGGTTTTCCAACTGAAGGAAGATAAAGATCTGCATTACTTCTTAGATGCATCAGATTCACCAAATTTGAGATGTTACTAGGTAAAACCATAGGACTAGAACTTGTTTTAACAATGAGGGTTTGAAGGTTCCATAAATTGCATATTGATGGTGGGAATGATGACAACCAAATGAAAAGGAACCTTAAGTGAACTAGTAATGCTAAACCAGGGGGGAAATAAAGCAATTTACATTTTTCTAGACTTAAACACCCTAAGTAGTGAAAAGGAGGGGAAAAACTTTGAGATAATGTCAGTTATGGTTGTTTTCCTAGTAAAGCACATTAGTGATCGAACACTTGGGGTGGTCGGAAGAGACGAACTCATAATGTGCATTTCTTGATTTGTGACCACACGGCGTTTCTTATATGTGGTAATTACCTCACAAACATTATTACATGGTGGGGAGTCTATTTTCAGGAAGAAAATTTCTTCTTTTCCTTTTTCCACACATACCTGCCTCACAAGATCATGGACTTTACAACGTCTGACATTACCCAAAACAGACCATTTTTCTACAATTAGAAGATTCCTGTCAACTAGATCCATCAGGTAACCGTTTGCAACTTCATCCATGCTTCGACTTCCATCTTCGTGTATAAATCCCTCAGCCATCCATAACCAAAGCAACCTTGGTGAGGAGATCGGGTAGTCTTCTGGAAAACCTCCCAAATAGAGAAAGCAGTCTCTCAAGTGAAGAGGCAGATGGTGGTAACTTAATGCTATTGTTTCCAGACATCCTTTCTCGTCACTAGCAATGTATGAATGGAAACTGCAAGAAATTTTTAGCCACACATCTTCACTCCTTGGTTCTTTTGCAAGAACTCCTGCCATCACAACCACAGAAAGAGGCAATCCGTGACAGTTTTTTGCAATTTGCTTTCCAGGTTCAATCAACCATTTGGGACATTCATCTCCTTTGAACACCTTCTCACACAGCAACTTCCAACTTTCTTCTTCTGTCAAATGTTGTAAATGATGAACTAGTCCATCTGATTTTGCATGCCAAGCAACTTCCGTGAGGCGACTAGTAAGCAGAATTCGACTTCCCATGTTATGATGAGAGAAAAATAGTTTCAGCTTATCCCATGCCTCTGTACTCCAGATATCATCAATGACAATTAAATATCTCTTACCCATTAGGCGTTTGTGCAACATTGCACGGAGTTGACAGTCCGTTGGTTTCTCAAGCTCTAATTGATCATCTATGGATGACAGAACTTGAATCAACAGATCCCTCTTGTCATATGTTTGTGAAACAGTGACCCATCCACGGACATGAAAATGATAAACAACATAAGGATCAGTGAACACTTTGTTAGCAAGAGTTGTCTTACCTATTCCACCCATACCCACAATAGAGACCACATCCCGATGCGTTCCATCTTCGACAAGTTTGTCCCTTATTATCTCAGCATCACGATCAAACCCCACAACGACATTTTCCAATAATTTCTTTTAACCCCTTGAATTTCTAGTGTGGAAAGTTCCAGCAGATTGTGTTTGCAGTCTATCAGTTCTCAGAGAAGAGTCTATCTTCATGTTATCGATGCTCATAGTCATGAACTCTATCTTGATAGACTAGATTGATCTCATAGCAACCTCAAGGTGGAGAGAAGGCTGAAAGATATCAGATCTAGGGAAATATCCGATATTTCTACAGTGGACAGTGGACAGAAAGATATCGACGATATCTTCTGCCTCTTCAGCTGCAGCTTTGAATATTTTCTTCAGCTTTCTGAATTTTTCAAAGTCGTGTAGATCTTGGTTTTCGTGGTTGAAAAGGGTTTGGATCAAGGAGCCAAGCTCTTCATAAAGAAGTCGGAATTGAGGCCTTCCAAGTAAGATTGATGGATTATCCGTGATCACTGGAATATCATTGGAGTATATCAGCTGCTTCAACTTTTCCA